CATGCTATGAAGCTAGGCTTTTCGAAAAGGTTTTACTTTCCTCACTCACACGCACTTATCAGTGCCCACCCCCTCTTTCCAAAGGACCTTATTTCAGGACTTTGGCTTGAGGATAACTATCTAAGAAGTGAAAGTTACTTGTACAAACAAAAACTGAAGAATAGATTAGTTCAGGCAAAATTTAAATAGATCAGAGATTTAAAATATGGTGCTCAAACAAAACCTTTCCTGATTCTGTTATGTTACAAGAGCATGTTGTATTAATTTATTCACTGTAATTGTTTCTAATGTGGGAGATAACAGGATCTCCATATACGGCAGTTTCATGGGGACTTCTTCTGTTTTTATACTCAAGACTTGCTATGACAGGTTGCTAATAATGAAAACAATCTCTTTTGTAACAGTATTGTCTGAGTAGTTCAGAATGTTTCAAAGACATAATATATACTAACTCAGTGAAATAGATGACAGCATATTCTCTCTCATTTTTAAATATAGGGAAAGAGTGAGGCACAGTCATTTTGGGAGAGTTGTAAAAACCAAAAGAAGTCAGTTCTCCAATTGATATTCAATATTCAGTTCAACTCAGTAACTGCAGTTCAGTGACACATGCACTTGTGTATTTGATCTAGAGAGACATGTCAATCAGAAAGAGACCATCAAAAAGACAAAAGAACTTCTAAGGAAAGGAACAAACATTTCATACAAAATTCCCCTGGAGTTATGCTGTGCAGTGTGAACACATACTGGATAGATGACATAGCATGAATAAAAGAATGTCAAGTCACTCATTAACACATGCTAGAACGATAATATTTTGGACATGCTGGGTTAACTATTATGAAAATTAATTTCACCTCTTTTTACTTTTTTCATGTGGCTAACAGAAAATCTTAAATTACATTTATGACTCACATTATATTTCTATTAGCCCTGATACAGAAAAGTTATGAAATATATACCTTATATTATTATATATACTTTATTTAGTTAGCAAATACTAACTCAACAGCTATCATTATCAGGTTTTATGCTAAGTGCTGAGACCTTAAGAGTGAACAAAGAGAATGGCCCCTGCCAGCAGAGTTTACATTAACTCCTACACTTCTACTGCACAGTCTACATATATTATTCCATTTATGATAATGCATAAAAATAACTTAATTTGGAACACCATTTTGGGGAACAAATGCCAATACTTAGAAATCACAAAATATAAATCATCAGTAGATTCATACTAATGGCAGTCTATTTTTGTGATATACTGTTTATATTATAACGCTATATAGTACTTATCTGGAAGCCTAACTCTCACATTCTCAATAGTTTCTCCTGGTTTCTTGCTCCTTCCCTCTAACAGTTTGCTCACTCCTTATGGCTCACCTCTACCAGACTGCTTTTCCACTGGCAGCCTGCCTGCTATTCACATTACAGCAGGGCTATTTCTATTTTCAGGGGTCCCCAGAGGAAGACAGGCTGAAAATGTTAACTGTGCATAATTTTAAGGGGCCAACTCTGGTTTTTTGGTCCCAAAATTGAGTTTGAAGTTTCTTTTGAGCTTAAACAAACTAGGGGATTTCTGAGGAGGATTTTGCTTCATAATTCAATGCACAAACCTATTTGAGGGCCAAATCAACTCATTAATTTTGTCCTACTGAGGTTTTCACACAAGAAAACTCTCCCAGATAGGGCTTGCAAAACAAGTGATCACATAGTATTTCTCTATTAAACGATTTTAAAAACAAATACTAGGTAACATCATTAGGAGAGGAATACATAATGTTTTTAAGGACAATGACATAAATATCAATAAAATGTTACCAATAAATAATTGTTCAGGCTTTACTGGCAACTACAAAGAGAACAATACCAGCAAAAACAACTTTATCAAAAGGTGTTAATTCTTCCCATTTTAATACAGAAAGTTTTACTGACATATAATAGCTATTTACAAACAAATGAAGTACTGAAGCTTTAAACACCCAAATGATTTCACTGCCTTTTTTGGCTGAAGTCTACTACCATCTGAAATACAGATGTATTTAGAAAAGGAATATTTTATCTTTTAGTCTTTAGTTGTGCAGGTGTGGTTATGTACATAGATGTTTTGATGTTACTACACGTATTCTGTCAGCTGACAAAGAACTGAAATCTTGTAACCAAAAAAAAAAAAAAGCTGAAGAAAAACAATTACTCCAGATTGGAGAAAAAAAATCACCTAAGGAAAATTTAGCTATTCTCCAATAGGTAATCAGATTAACACTTTGCTAAAAAAGAGTCAAACCAAAATTGAATACTTCATACATCATCATGGGTCTTTCAGACCATCATTAAACTACTAGTGCTAGCTTGCCAAATACAGTGCAATATGCAATCAAATATAAATTTAGAAATTCAACTCTCCTTTGGCCTTCCATTCCAAAAATGGCCTGATTTTTATATGGGCCTCAAACAATAAAAGAGCATAAAGCTTAGTCAGCACAAAACAGCCTGCATATGACAATCAATTCTTGTCAGTAGCATCAGAAAAAGTTAACAATTCTCTAAGATTTCCTTTATAACCTGAATAGAAAAGGCAATTCAGATGTAAATACAACAAAATGTATCCCCAGCCTGTCTGTGCCCAGTACTTGACTAGAGACTTTAACATGTTATTACAAATATTTATCTTCCCTCTCCCCTTTGAAAAATTCAGAGAACAGCATCTTTCAATCCTTAGTGCTCACCAAATTAAAAAAAAAAAAGTTTAAGTGGGAGGGGATGATTAGAACCCAACAAATATCTGTGATATACCTAAATAATTTTTAAAATCAGAACCTGTCATAATATACAAGATTCTTTCAAATATTAAAAGTTGTTTCAGATTACCTACATATAACTCCATCTAAGCCTGTCAGAATAGTCCTTTCAATTCAATCTCATTAAAGAAAGGTGACCCCAAGTGTCTTACATTAACAACTGCAAAAATATTACTTTATGACTTCCTCTATTTCAAATTTGTGAAATGCATTTATTTTCCATTAAGGTGCCAAAGTAACTTTAAAAATAGTTATCTTAGTATCTTTCAGGTTAGGTAGAAAAAATATGGCTTCATTTAGTCAAGTAAAAAGCACCCCAAATCCTACAAATCATTTCCAAAATTTTAAAAAGAAATTCCAACACTGGTTAGATGACAGTAAAATGGACTGTTCTCTATTAAACTCTAATGATCAATTGAGGCATTCCCCCAAAGGGGGGATGAAAGAGCAATATTTTAAGTAGCAACTATTTGGAGGCTAAGAAGTGAGTTGTGTTTCAACTCCTAAAATAATGTTTCAGTTTTAAAAGTTACTGGAATCTGCCTGAAGTTAGAAATATTAAAAAAATACCCTTCATTTAGTTGTCAAAATAATTTTTTTCTCAGAAACACTACCTTGTGATGACAGTTTCTGTGAACACATGTAATTCAAACTTCAGTTATACTGTGCACAGTAATAAAGAGAATATTAAACTAACAAAAAGGTTTTTGTTGTTTTTGCATGATTTGGTTTATTAAGTATACCAAGCCTTAATTCTAAATCTTTACCATGGAATTGCATGCTGCAAAGAAAGAACATTTTACAACAAGAGGTAACAATAAATCATCGCCATTTTCTAAACAGGAGTATTTACATTTTAATTCAGTTTAGATAGTTGGGTCTAACAGAAGCATAAACAGGCAAATATAGTAACAGATTGAATTATAAACAGAAGTGAAAAGATGCGCGTTAAAATGGTTAATGGCAAAACGGAAAAGGAAATTTAGACATACTGTCACAGTTCATGAAAAGGCTCAAGGAATCTAAAGTTAAAATAATAAAAAATAAAATAAAAAGATAGCCATAGTCTTACAAAAAGAGTGGAATAAGAAGGGCAAGGTAACATTTTAAGCAACCGGTAGGACGAAGGGATGTTTTATGCCTCCACTGTTTATTAACATTTAAAACTAGCATTTGCAGCCAACACTTGGGTTTGAATATTGCAGCGGCAGTTAAATGCTGTCCTTTCCAACCTCAACCCAACAGAACATTTTGAGTTGTGGATATTAAACAAAATAAAGCATCGTTCGTATACTTCTACCTTCAAGGGCCAGTGAGAAAAAATTAAGACTTTTTTTTCTTCCATATTTAGCCTTAAACTCTCTCCCCTCTTTTATTTACTGCCCTTGTCGCGGGGTTAATGAACCCTAAACTTCTCTTTCTTCCTCCCATTGATGAAAATGGGGACAAAGAGCAATGACACAGGGAACCCCAAACGACAGGAAAAACTGGAAATTAAAGAGTGGCATTACTTGCTGGGTGAAGGCTGGAAACTCCCTGAAGGTTTAGCATGAAGGAGACTATCCTGGAAGACCCCTACCAACACATACTTTACCCCAAACCTACATCATTTCTCGTATGTTTAATTTCTGCTCTTGAAGAGGATGGCAGTTCTCACGGATGAACCTTCCCCGGACTGCCCCCGTCTCCTTAGTGGGGGCAGCAGGGGATGGGGGCGCGGCAGCGGCTCCGAATGTGCGGCGGGGCCCGGAAGTCGGTCCCGTTAGAGCCGATTTCACCCGTCAGGAATGCGCTCCGCCCCACCTCCTCCTCGCCGTGGCCGCCCTCGGCGTCGCGCGCTTGAGGGGCCAGAAAGTGTGGGGAGCGCCGCCTTGCCCCGTCACAATATCGCCGGGTCGGCTGCCATCCCCACAGACTGCCCGGGCGGAGACAGGGCTTGGGGCGGATCCCACGCTCCGCCTCGGCCGGCGCGGCCAAGGGGGAGCCAGCGCCCGGGCCGGGTGGGGGACGCCGAACCGGCCCGAGGCCCGATCCGGGGACCCGCCTCAGCCCGATCACGAGAGGGGGCGCCTTTCCCACGGGTTCTCCGTCCCGAGGAAGGGCGCGAGGGCAGTGGCCGTGCCAGAGCGCCTCGGGTGGGAAAGGGGAGCCGCCCCTGCCCTCCCGCTCCCGGGAGCAACCTCCTCCGGCGCCCGCCCGTACCTTCAACTCCTCAGAGCGGCAGCTGGCGCAGGGCTGCGGGCGGGCAGGCCCCTCTCCCAGCCGCGGCGGCAGGAGCCGCAGGAAGTACGGAGGAGGCTCCCTCAGACCCGCCGCGGCGCCTCTCAGCTGGGGCGGGGGACCGGGGAGGAGGGGTCCCGACGGCCGCTGTCCCGAACTCCTCCTCCGCAGCTCTGTCTGGACGGCTGTTCCCGGGAACCGGCGACGCAACTGCCATTCTCCCCCTCCTTCGGCCCCCGCGGCCTCCGCCTCTTCCTCCCACTTCTTCCTCCCGCCCCCGGCCCGGCCAGCCACGGCGCACCGCCCACGCGCTGTGCGTCATGGCGTCACGCCCACTGGGCCCGCCGCGGGCGGCTCTGGGAGGCTGTCGTTTGCTCGCGTAGGTTCTCCGGGTGCTCTCCCTAGGTCACCTCGCCTGCGACCCTGGTGGCGAGCGTGGCCCCGTTGCCCGCCCCTCAGCGGGGAGGTCAGTGAACCGCAGGACTTCGCCTGGACCGAGCTGAGCTGGAGGGCAGGTGTCTTTAAGGGAGAGTGAGGCTGGCTGGCGCTGTTCCCGAGGTGAAAGGAGATGTTGGACTTGAGACTCAAGCTTCTGGCATTTCGCACGCCTTAATTTCATCCTTTGATGAATAATGTTCATAAAGGAATTCACTTTTATGAATTCACCTGCGGCTCACCTGCCAACTTGGCAACCCCAGGGAGAGCAGGGCCGAGGTGTTGGAGCGAGTTTCTGCCGCTCTCCGTGAAGAAATGTTCTGCCCGAGGGCGGCAGCGCCCCACCCCCTCGTTCCTTAATCTTCCGCAGGTGCTGCTAGGCGCAGCAAGCGCTTCGCCAGTTTAACACCCTGTGGGCAGGTTGAGAGAGTATCTTCAACTCTTCTTACCCACCTCTTAACTTCACAAAGTCGCTTAAGTATACGGAATTCATATTTCAGTCCTTATATATATTTTGAATTACTTTAATCCAGTTTTATCTGTTCTCTCCTTTAAAATAGTCATACCCCCTTTGACTTTTTTAACCTGCACATGACTTGGTATCAATTCTTAGATGAATAAACATTCAGTCTAGGCCTGGTCCGTTCCCTCCTAGCTGATTTCTTGTCAAAATTTAGTCACTCTTCCATGGAATACTGAGAAACGGAATGTGAGAGATGCTGGACAGAATGTCCATTTGCCATCTGTTACTTAACTAAATATATCAACCCATCAATCCTTGTTTGAGTGTGTCTAATTTAAGTTAGAAACAAACCAAGGAGCGATGGTCTTTCAGATGGTACTTGGTATCTTTGGTAACCCAGTAAATGTTTACCAATTAGAAAATTTTAAACAAGTTAGGCAATTTGGGTCTAAGTATCTTTGACCACGAATCTTGAAGTAATGATGGGTTTGTTGGTTTTCATTTATTGGAAGTTTAAAGCTATATTATCCTTCAAATGTTACTTGAAGGCTGTCAGCAATTTTAATCAATGGGATACTTGGCCTACATGTAGTACAAGAACAGTGAGTTAAATGGATTTATGGAACAGTTCCCATACATAATATCCTTCTTGAAAAATATATTAACATGTTGAACTTTTCAAAACGGATGGAGCACTGACTTCGGAAGAGATTTTGAATAAAGAGGCTGTGCAGAGTGGGAATGGTATTGTACTTCGTATGACTGTCATATTTTCCAGAGATTCCTTTTCCTGTTTTTCTTCTTAAAAACTAGAGAGATTTCAACTCTTCACTAGGACAAAATAAGTCTATAAAGAATTATCTATTGAACGTCTCCACTCAAATGTCCACAGACAGCCTAAGACAGATTTGTTATCTTTTTCTCACAAGTTGCCCCTCTCATTCACCCAAGCCCAAGCCAGAAATCTAGGCTTCTTCCCAGGCACCCTCCTTTTTGTCATTTCCAATTCTTAGTCAGTAATCAAATCCTGCTTATTATACATCCTAAAAACCCCTGCACTCCCTTCTACATCCTCCTTCTGCTTTTAGGGCAGTAGTTTCAACTTTGGCTGCACGTTAGGACCTCCTGCAAAGCTTTTACATATCCGAATGCCCAGGCTCACCCACCAATTAAATCCAAATCTCTTTCAGAGATTGGACACTCAGGCATCAGTATTTTTTTAAACTCCCCAGGTGATTGCAGTTTATATCCAGACTGAAAACTACTGCTAGGGACTCATAATTTTTCACTGAATTACTGCAAAAGCATTATAATTGGCCCCATGTGCCTCAATTTTTGACAGCATTTGTCCATCTCTCCCTATTTTCTTCTAATTCATTCAACATCAATTCAATAAATATTATTGAGTGCCTAGTATATTGCAGGGAGGGGTTTGCTGTTAATAGAACATGGGAATACAGCAATGAAAAAGACAGCCCTTGTGTGTGTTCTCATGGAGCTTATATGGGGGCCAGGAAGAGCAAGGTTGGGGGAGGCAGAAAAAACAAAAACAAACAAATTTACCAGAGTAACATACAGAAACCAGGGAGGTTGTTACTTTAGATTGGTCTCAAACTAAAGTCCACTCCTCTGACACTTGAGCTAGGTCCTACAGGACAAGGAGGAGGCAAACAAGTTATGGAGCGGAGAAGGCAGGGGCAAAAAATAGCAGCTGCAGACATCCTAGCAAGACAACCTTGCCCAGTTCAAGGCAGCTAGAGGCTGAAGCACAGTGACAGGAAGATTAACATGGGGTTAGAAAAGTAGGAGGAAGCCAGATTACTTAAGGCCTTTTAAGGTCATGATAAGGAGAATTCTAAATGGTTGGTATGATGTGTGATGAGACACTGTCTTGCCAATGGGTTTCAGCCCTGGGCAAGTTCACTATGGATTCATTGTGACCAAAGAAATGACAGTAGAATGTTCTTGGGGTGAAAGGGTTGATACCCAACTTTATTTCCACAGTGGCAGGTTCAATCACTAGAATCCCATTCACCCAGAGCAAGTCTGCATGCAGCAAGCTGGTCTCTGCCTCTGGGCCTTTCTACCCACCCAACCCCCGCCAGCTGTCTCAGTCTCTGTCCTCGGCACTGTCACCACTCCAGCCTCTGCTCTGTTCTGCTGCCTTGCAGCCGTGCCACTGTGTCGCCCAGAGCACTTTGCGGAGCTCTTCATGTAGAGTCAATAACAATGAATTGCCCAGATGTGTGTAGTAAGCTAGCCAACCTGGGCCAGATGAGAATCCTGGCCACAGGAACCTTCATTTTATCCACTGGTGAAAGGATTTATACCCAACTTTATTTCCATGGTGGCAGGTCAATCACTAGAATCCCGTTCACTCAGAGTAAGTCTGCATGCAGCAAGCCAGTCTCTGTCTCTGGGCCTCTCTACCTGTGCAGTCATCTCAGTCTCTGTCCTCAGCACTGCCACCACTCCAGTCTCATCTCTGCTCTTCTCCAGCCTTGCACCATGCCACCATGTTGCCCAGAGCACTGGGCGGAGCTCTTCATATAGAGTCAATAACAACATATTGCCCACATGTGTGTAGTGAGCTAGCCAACCAGGGCCAGGTGAGAATCCTGGCCACAGGAACCTTCACTTTATCCATAGGCATGATAGACTTTTAAGTATAGTGACACTTGATTTGTCTTTGAAAAAAATCACTCTGCTCTGTGGATTCAATTATAGCAGAGCAAGTGTGGAATCAGGGATATCAGTTAGGAAAATACTGCAAGAATCCAGAAATCTCAGTTCTTTTGACCAAGGTGGAGATGGGCAGTGGAGACAGAAGAGGGTGGGTGATTTTGGAATTTGTTTAGAGGCAGTATTGGTATGACTTGGAATAGAGTAAAAGTTGGGAATGTAAGAGAACAATGGGATTAAATAATAACTACTCTTTGTTGAATACATATTTACATGACAAGCACTGTTCTAAGTGCTTTATAAGTATATTAAGCCATCTAATTATTAAGAGTTCCCAAAGGTAGGTACTATTATTATCCTATTAACAAATTAGTAACTGAGGCTCCAGAGGTTAAGTAATTGGCTCAAAGTTACATAGCAGGTAAGTGGCAGAGTGGGATTGGGACCACATGGGTGGTTTGGCTACAGAGCTGGTACTCTTCTCCCAGCCCTACCCTGGTCCCCTCCACCAGTGTCACAATCAAAGTGAAAATTTCTTCAGCCAAACTAAGCTACTTAGGGGACCACAGATCCTCTCTCCTTTCTCCCTTCTCCTCCTTCTCCTGTTTCTGCCTATATATATAAGCATCTATTTCTTTGCATGTGCTATCCACTCTGCCTAGACTGCCCTCTCCCTTCTTCTTCTGTGCCTGGCTCAATTTGCCCACCTTTACTGGTCCTTACAGGCTAAGTCAAGTCCGTCTTTTCTGCCTCCTGCTTCTATGCTTACCTCTCTAATTTTCTGTGTAACAAACTTATTATTTGTAGGTCTTTCCCACTAAGCTTTCAAGGCAGTTTGCTTATGCCTGATACATAAGGGAGAAAGGAAGGAAGCAAGCAAAGATACCTAGGCATGCACATATGGCATTTTCCCTTGGTGCTTGAAGACACAAATCCACTAAAGTATTGTTCCTACCTTCAGGAAGCTTATAGTCTTGGCAGGGAAACAGACACATAGAAAATCACTCTATTACAAGGGCAGAAAGTGTGATAGAAACATGTTATAGGAGTGATAAGGAAAATATTCAACACAGACGTCAAGGTCAGCAAATCGCTTTTTTCCTCCAGTTGGCAAAGCACTCCCAGCTGCCTCCTCCCCTCCTCCAGGCTACTCTTTTGCCCTGCACATGCTGAAATGCCACATATCAATTAATATAAATTGCTCCCCTTGCTTGTGCTCAGGGCTCAGACCTTGGGAGATTACTTCCCTCTGAGCCCGTTGGTGTAAAATAAACCTCAGCACTCCAAGACCTCCGAGTGCCGCTTGGTTCTGTCAGTGATCCAGTCCAGGTTTTCCAGTATTTTCCTTAACAGGAGCACTGGATAGGACCTTTAAGATAAGAAGCTTGGCATTAGGATTGTTTCACAGGAAAAAACATTCAATCAGGAGTGTGCACTTGGGGGCCTTATTCTCCACTGTCATTTAATGTGGCTTGGGGAGGCAATCTTAGGACCTCAACTGGGAAGACTTGGGAGGTTTTCACATGCTGTAATTCACCGAATGTGCTATTTCCTGACTTCTCACTCTCATGTGTCCTCATGTGAAAAAGTGTATTAAGCCCGGAGTTGGTTCAATTCCCTTCCTGGCAGGGTCATAGATATTTCTTCTTATGAAGT